GCTGGTTGGCTTTTTGTCCGGCAAATTTTTTTGGAATACATGGATGGACCAGTACCTCGTGGGTGAATGCCACAGTAAAGAAAGGAACGGAAAAAAAAGTGACCAGCACGGAGAAGGGCGTGACTTTCCGGGGAGCGTGGGTGGAGTGGCCTGTTGGCAGTCAGGGGCAGACCGTGCCGTACTACTTTGCGAACTACAACTTCACTCTTGTGGCGACGGTGTCCATCCACAATCTGCCGAGGGGAGATAACCCCATTCCATTGATGGGTGTGCGTCTGGAGGGTGGAGGAGAAAAAAAACTTATGGAGTTGTCGTACGACAAAGAGGGGAAGTGGCAGGTGCTGTGCGGTGGCAAAACGACCAAGGAACTCCGCAGTAATTGGGAGCCAGAGACAACACACCAAGTGGCCATTGTGCTACGGAACGGAAAACAGGGCTCCGCGTACGTCGATGGTCAGCGTGTGGGAGATGCGTCATGTGAATTGAAAAACACGGATTCGAAAGGAATCTCCCACTTCTACATTGGAGGGGATGGAGGCAGCGCAGGGAGCAAAGAAGACGTGCCTGTGACCGCGACGAATGTCCTGCTGTACAACCGCCCGTTGGATGACAATGAGATCCGCGTCCTCAACGCAAACAAAATTTCTATTCCAAAGCTGACAGGCCTGAAAAGAGTGGCGGCAGGAGCAACGGGTGAAGGTACCGCTCGTGACGGCGGGGCACATGGTGGCAGCACTGTTTGCGGAGGCGGACTGCTGCCGCTGCTCCTTCTGCTTGGATTGTGGGGGATTGCCGCTTCTTGAGGAGTGTGTGGCCTCTGCGTGGAACACCTCATCCCTTCCCCACCACCGACGCACACACCCCTGGTAGTGGATTAATCCCCGTAAAGGAAAATTTTCATGTTTTTTTTTTTTTACTTTTTTGTGCGTGTTTTTTTCTAGTCTCTCATCTCTCATCCCCTCTTTTTTGCTTTTTGGGACAATCAATATGGACGTTCTTTTTCTACTCTTCCCTCTTTTAATTGTTTCTTCTGCACTCTTCCTGTGAGGGGTGCCGTGTGTTTCCCGCCCAACTGCTCCGCTCGCACACCCACCGACACGCTCATGACGACGGGCCTGTGCGCCTCGCCTGCTGCACGCATGAGGAGGGGCCGTGACGAACGGCGCGCTGAGGGAGCCGTGACGTGTGGGCGTGCGACGAGGGCCTGTGGGGCGGAGCACACATTTCTTTCCCTCTTGTTTTGTTTTCTTTGCGGCCAGGGCGGGCAGACACCCGCAGCGCCACACACACAGCCACACCCTGCCGCCGTGTTCTTAAGACCTTTTGCTTTGCGCGTGCATTTCTCGCGCCGGCATTTCTTTCGGTGTCGGTCTTGTGAGCATTTCTTTTCCCCGATTTTTTTTTCTTTTGCTTCGCTCACTCTCCCGATGGAGTGACGCGACCGCCGTCATTTCTGCGTGCTTCTCTCAGTCCCCACACACACGAGTGACTGAGCTCTGCAGGCCGCACTCACACGCCGATGAGAGGGCTGAGGGGAGCAGCAACACGCAGATGACCCCATGAAGTATAAACGACGTGCGGACACACAGAGGGTCAGACGGTTGAAAGACATTTAAATACGTTTTTAATTTTTTTTTGGGCAAAATATATGCAGACAGTTTGGTGTGGCCACAAGGCAGCCGGCAGCTTTTTTAAATTTGTGTGGAACAGTAATGGATGATTTCTTTTATTTATAATTATTTTGTGTGATGGGGTTTGTATAAGACGAAGGGAAACGTGTTTTTTTTTAAAACAAATCTTGTGTGAATTGCCACTGCCTGGACTGCAGTGCAGTCGTGAGTTTGAGCGGTCTTCTTCTTGTTGCTTCCGCCACGCACCTCCGCTGTACATTTTTTTGCGTCTCTCCACATACTCTGCTCTCTTTTTTCTACTTTTTTTTTCTTTGTGTTTCTGCAGACACACACACAAGATGCACATTGCAGTGGATTTGAATGCTTCTTTTGTAGTGCATGCTGGCAGTTGCGTGTGGCGGCTGTTGTCTTCCTCCGTTGCCATGAGGAGAAGGGAGGAGGGAGGAGGGAGAGGGAGTGCGCAGCCCGAGTCTCCTTTCCTGCGGATGCGGTGGTTGTGCCGGTGGATGTGTCGTGTGCTCCGAGTGACGGCAGCCTGAGCTATCGTGTGTGTGTGTGTGTGCGTGGAAGAAGTGTTCTGCTGCCAGTGCTGAGGCTCAGTATGAGAATTATACTTTCAGTGGCTTTGGTGCGCACATGCATGGCAGGAATGGTGAGCTGGGTGCTGTGTGCCATGTGGCCAATGCGGTGCACACATGTAGCAACTGTGCTGCCAGCTGTGCAACGAAAGAGGAAGGGGCCACCGTTGCCTTCACGATGAATGTGACGACACATAAATACGCCGGCCCTTATGAATTGTGGTGGCGTCAATTTTCTCCCGATGGAACCATCCATCCGCCTGCACGGAGCAGCGATGCTGACCGGACGGTCATCTGTCAGTTGCCGCCACCCCGTGAAGGGAAGGATGACACAAAATCTGGTGGGACAACTGCGCCGCAAGTTAATGCTGAGCCGTCACGTCAAAACGAGGATTGGCGACAGTCTGCGGCGGCTGACGGACCGAACACCGTCGATCGGAGTCCCGCATCCAACACGGCGACCAACACGTCCGAGACGAAGCTTGAGTTTGCTTACGCTTAAAATATCAATGTGGCTCCGACACCATCCGAAAGAAGGCCCACGCCTGTCACCGAGCCGAAGGGGAATCCCATTGATGATGCGATGAGTGGTTTAATAAATGTTGAGTTGCCGCGGGGAGTCGATCTATTTGTGGCGCAGACGACGCTGGTGCAGCCGAAGGATGGGATTGTTCCAGTTACGACGAGGGATTCATTTGTTGCACCCTCTCTCGTCAGTGCTGGTGGAGTAATTGCTGTTTTTTTTTGAAGGATACATTTATGCCGAATATCAATGTGGTCAATTAATTATGTCCTTTTCTTCTGATGCTGTTGCGGGGTACATCGACTCTGCGTGGAATTGGTCCACTGTTGTTGGTGGGGTCAATAAAAGATACATGGAGGGCACACACTGTGCTTGGTGCAGCGGAGGGAGAGGAGAGTTTGGGTGCTGTGCTCCGCCCCACAACAATCACGAAGGGCAACAGAGTGTTTCTTCTTACCGGAGGCTCTGATGTGTCCTACGAAGGTGGGTGCTGGAGAGAGGGCGGCTTGGAGCTGAAACTGGTTGTGGGTGATGTCACGAATCCCACGGGTGGAAAGCAGAGTGGACGGATCGAATGGGGCGACCCCAAACCACTCTCGAAACTGATCTCTTCTGCTTCTCACAAGGTGAATGGACGGAGTTCATTGCTTCCGGTGGCGCAGGTGTTGTGATGGAGGATGGCACGCTTGTGTTTTCTCTGATGGCGGTGAATGAATCGGAAGACGTTTACTCCATGATCGTGCATTCGACGGACAACGGCAGTATCTGGGCGCTCTCTGAAGACATTTCCCCTGCGAAATGCCTTAACCCCTGCGTCACAGGATGGGAGGGATCACTTCTCATGATTGTTGACTGCGAGAATGGCCAGAGGGTGTACGAGTCGCGTGACATGGGGACAAAGTGGACGGAGGCCATCGGGGCACTCTAAGGTGTGTGGGTCAACGCCCGATCAGGAGTCCCTCAGAAGGAAAGCCTGCGTGTGGATGCCCTCATCACCGCGACCATTGAGGGAAGGAAGGTCATGCTGTACACTCAGAGAGGGCACACCTCAGGGGAGAAAAGGGCCACTGCGCTCTGCCTTTGGGTCACGGACAACAACCGCACTTTTTCTCTTGGACCGGTTGTCGTGGAGAATGCTGCGAATTGGACGCTCGCCGGCAACCTGCTGTACTCGGATGGAAGTTTGCATCTTTTACAAGGGAGGGGCAACGGTGAATGCCGTGTCATCTCACTTTGCGGCCTGACGGAGGAACAGAGTGCGGTCAGGTCCGTCCTCAGTACTTGGACGCAAAAGGGCATTTTCTTCTCCAGCTTCTCTATACCCACGGCGTGGCTGGTGGCAGTTTTGTCCGGTGCGGCCAGTGATGACAGGTGGAACGACGAGTACCTTTGCCTGAATGCAACGGTGACGAATGCAGCGAAGGACAACGATGGGTTACAAGTGACGGGACTTGAGTCCAGGGCAATATGGCCTGTGAACACTCGGGGTGATAAAGTGCGTCATGTATCTTTGAGCCACTACTTCACACTTGTAGCGTCGGTGAACATCGAAGAGGCTCCGAGCGGGAGCACTCCTCTACTGACTGCGGTGCTGGCGAACACTGAGTCCAGTCATACCATGGGACTGTCGTACAGCCACAAGAAGAAGTGGGAGACGACGTTCGAAGGCAAGACAACAACACGGAGCAGCACTTGGGAGCCGAGGAAAGAATACCGAGTGGCACTCATGCTGCAAGGCAACAAGGCCTCTGTGGACGTTGATGGCGAGTCGCTGGGGAAGGAAGAGGTGCCGTTAACGGGCGAGAGGCCACCTGAGGTCCTGAGGTTTTGCTTTGGGGCGTGCGGTGGGCACTAATCTCATGTGACGGTGAAGAACGTTTTTCTGTACAACCGCCTACTGAATTTCACTGCGATGCGTGCACTCAAGGACAGGGTCCCCGTTCCGACGAGGGAAGCGGCTCCGACACCATCTGAGAGGGTTCGAGTAGTTGACAGCGTCAGAGAGCACGTTGCTGGGGATATTACCGAAGAGAAATGAATGGGCACAACGCAATGCCACTGGACATGAATCCCTATTACAAATAGTCAGCTCGCAGGGTCTGGAGCGGCGTGAGTCCCGACGACCGCCTCGCCCTCTCCCAACGACGTGAAATTGATACTGCGTGATTTGAGCGGTAACAATGCCGTGCGTGTGTGTGTGTCTTGTGTGTTGCTGCTTCTGGGATTGTGTTTGGGGGGCGGCAGTCTTCTGAGCCACAGAGTGTGGATTTGCGACTCCTCACGGAGAATACGTGCCGCATTTCTCGCCCTTTTTTATGCCACCTTTTTTATTTATTTTTTAACGTTTTACTGTTTGTTGATTCTTTCAATGTTTTTACTTTTCAATGTTACCTTTAATGCAGTTTATCTGTTATAATCAGTACTGTTGTTTTTTTCTTTACGCGGTGTTCGGTTGATAAATACCGTGATGAGCGATTTGTTTCCCCCTCTTGTTTGCCTTTTTTTTTGCCCACACACGGTGCCGGCCTCATTGCTGTGCGTCCCACGGACTGCCCGAAAGGAGGAGCGGAGGAACAGGCCGGATGCCGCATGAAATGTGAGGAATGTTGTGTGGGCTGGTGGAACAGTACGAACACTTTTCTTTAATTTTTGTTGCGCAGGCAATATTTATATACAGAAACACAAGGTCGTTTCTATTGCGTTGCATGGCACATGAAATAAAATTTCTGCCGAATTAAATTTCCCTAATTATTTCTTTTGAGGGTCATGCCGGACTCTCACTTTTTCCTTTTATTTGGTAACTCACCGCAGCGTGCCTCCATTGTTACCGTATCCACTGTCGCTGTGTGTCTCCGTGTCCCGTTGAGTGTCCCTCTGCTGGCCGTGCTGTTGACATGCCCCCACTTCTTCTTTCCTGCTAGTGGCACCGATGGTCCGCGACGACGATTGTTTGTGCTCCCCTTTGCGATGGCACGAGGGTGACTGGGCGCTGGCCTGCTGAGTGCGCTCGGAGGGAAGCGGATGGTGTGTGCAGTGCTTCACTGTGAGTCGTTCTGCCAATCCGTGGGTGCGGAGGGAAGTAAAGGACTGCAGCGTGGACTTGGATCCGCCCGTCCCTTTCGTTGCGGCCGTGTGTGTGCTGGGCGCATGGCTCTATCTTGCGGTGCGACGTGGATGGCATTGCTTTTGTTTGTGCCCTTGTGCATGCGCTGTGCGGCGGGCTTCTCTTCCCCATGACACCGCCCTTGTGTGCGGGCGAGTGGAGGGAGCGGAGGTGTGAGGGAGTGAGGGTGGCCGTTGTTTCCGCACATTTGGATCTTCCACAAAAGTGGCATTTTTCGGCAGCCTCTCGCAGCACCCAGGCCGTGGATCGAGAGGATGGGAGGGTCTGCTCCAAGCACAACGAGGACAACAAGATGCAGTTCATGACGGCCAACCTGATCCGCGGGTGGTTCCAGCGCATGGAGCACGTGCGCCAGTACGCGTTCGGCGTTGCACTCATCATTGGGGAGGAGAGGCGGCACGACATTGTGGCGCTGTGGGTGTTGTGCGGCCGGGGCATGCCGGCGATTGTGAGGGACGTGGAGGACACGGAGCTGTTTGACTGAGGGAGGAACTGGAAGACGTCGCGGCGCAGCGGGAGCGCATCACGGACTACCTGTGCTGGGAGGGCCCGACGATCCCGAGGCCTGTGCTGGAGGGGCGTGTGCTCAAGTGAGCGTGGCGTGCTGGTGAGGGACGGAGTAGAGAGAATAACGGTAATAGTAACTGTGGGGGTGTGAGGAACGGGACAAGGGCGAGGAGCACTTCTTTTGATTATTGTTTTGATTGTTGTTGAGCGGCGTCCACCTAATTGTTGTTGTGCGTGACTCTCATCGCTGGATGGGACGGTGCGTGGCTGTGTGACTTGTCTCTCACCTTTTGCTTCCTCTTTGTTGACGGGGAGTTAGTTTGTGCTGAAGGCTGCACGCAAGTGACAGGAGTGATGGCGATGATGATGACTGGCCGTG